AAGTTGATGCTTACAACCAGGGCTCCTATAAATGTATAAATATGCAAATATTGACCTAGAAATAGTAAGCGACGTCAAAATGGTGGTCAATATGTTGTTATTTAATTTCGAAACCATACAAAAAGTTTACATCAAAAAACTACAATATTTTTAGCAATTTAGCAAAGATAACTCTTTAAATGAAACGTCGAAAGGAAAAAAAAAGCTTAAAAAAACAACAAAAATGAAATTTTGCTATTTCAATATGGTAGGTAGGCAAGGACGACTTTTCTGATGAGTAGTAAGCCGTTCAAAAAAAGATTTAATTTTATGATGAAAAATAAGTGTAAACAAAAATGTATTCATGCATTTATTGAAAAAAAAAATGTAATAATATATATTATATATAAACACTAAAAAAGCTATAACTATAAAATATTTGAATAGCAAAAAAATATAAGAAACGGAGGATAAGAAAAATACATCCAAATGTCATTAATTAAATAAAATGCGAAAAATAGCAAAACTAATTTAAACTTGCATGGAGTTGAAGACCCTTGAAGCATATGTGAACTTAGGTATTTTTATATGTTATGTAAATATAATAAAATAATCATTTCTCGCTTCTTTAGTACATATTATCCAGCCAATTAGTATTTATAGCGATAGATGGCCACACTAGCAACGCCAATGAGTATCGAACCCAATAAGAAAAAAGCGTAAGAAAGGACTCAAAATGTTCTAACGTTAAAAAAATAAATGAATCTTATAAGAAAATTTGCGTGTTCGATCAATTCTCTTCATTTGGTATTTCTTTGAATTAGTACGAGTACGGCTTAAATCCCTTAGCCGCCACCTCTTTGGTCGGTTTGCCATTAGTACTGCGTCGTTATCTTTTTCCATTTCCTGAAGTGGTGTACTTGTTTCAACAGCATTTTTAGCGAACTCCCCTAATTCTGGTGTCGTAGTCTCGGTTTGTAGTAAATTTCTATTGAATGTCTGACAGAGTTCAGTGGGTGGCCTAAAATTTAATTTTGGGGTTAATGACAACAAGCGCTTTTTACCAAACAGCATTGGACTATTTAAAACGGCTTGTTTCGATTCATCATCAAGAGCCAACAATGGTGTATCATCGGTCTGTGAACATGCAGCTGACAATTTGCTGCTAAACTGGGATAATCGTACATTCTTTCTTCTTTCCTGCTTGTTGAACATGCTTTTTTCACACAGCATGTTTCGCTTTTCAGAAATAACTTTGTTTTTTATACAAAGTATATTATTGTCAATATCATCATCACTTTTGTGAAATTCATTTAGCAAGGCTTCTATACGTTTTTTGCCTTTTTCAGTTATAAGTACGTTCTTGCCATTAACTGTTTGGAAATCTGTAGATTTGTCGATTTGCGCACTGTTCTTTGTCATTTTTCTAAATTAAAATTCCATGCGATCTTTCATATCTTCCAGTCCAGTTTCATTGTCTTTTTCTTTTTCTTGGGTGATTATGGAAGCAAAAATGTTATCGTCATCTTCATAAACTGGTTGGATGGCACTAAAGCTAAAAAATTTTGGATTAACTTAAATGTTGTCTCTTCACAAATTTTAAAAACAAGGTCGCACTGCTTGAGGTGGAATGTATCGATATTTCATAATTTTAAACCAACACATTTTGATGAAGCTTCTAGCCCCGTAGCTAGAGGCGATTATGTCTCAATTGTAGCGTTTACGACCGATTTGATGCTCACGGGGTTAGCGGTTTGTTACTTTTCTCGTACTAACGCGGATTACTTAGGCGGTTATGGGTCACTTGAGGCGTCTATGACCGGTTTGTTGCACATGTCGTTGGAGATCGCGGTTTACTCCAAAAAAAACAAACGGATACGTTGTTCGTGTCATAGCTGCCTTGGCTTCCTGGGCCAATGGTTTGTCCCTCACCGTCTCTGGTTGGCATATGTCAACAGAAAATCATCGGTCCTTCAGGGGTGGCGATTAAGCTAAACCAATCCATCCTCTATCCATGGAGTCAAAAGGCCTTTCAGTCCTTCAGGGATGGCGATTAAGCTAAACCAATCCTTCCCCTATCCGTAGAGTCAAAAAAAAATAAAAAATTATTAATACGAGTCAGCGTGTCAAGTAGTCCGTGTACTTACCTTAGCTGAAGTCTCGCTCGCTTGTTCCCTTGCAACATGTCCTCGGCTGTGTGCCTTTACATGAGTATTGTGGTACTGTACTGATGTGTATGTGTACTTACAGCTGCATTTTGTTTGGATGACTACCATCATTACCTTCTATAATTATAATTCCTTTTAATTTGATATTGCCCGTGAATGGTATGTAGAAGAGTAACTCTTCGTCGGAATCACTTTTAACAAACTGCAAAGGTTGTTAGTCGAATTGAAAATGAAAATTATCTTTATACAATTGTTTGTTTTCTTACACACCTGCGTTGTATCCAACCGATTTTCATAAGGCCTAAACACTCTCTTACCACTTCCTTCTAATTTTTCATTGAGACACTCTAAATTGTCCAAATCTATTTTTTCATATAAGCTATATTCGATGCCCATTTCTAAGGGCTGATCGTTGTGGGCAGCTTCATCACTACAGCCGCTATCATGATTATGAGAATGTCCATGCGGAATTTTTTTGGATATTTATTATTTTTGAGTATTTCACATGCGAAAAACATCGTTTTTTTGTTTGCTTCCTTTGTATCTGAGAATTGATGATTATCGATAGGTGTTGTACGCTATGACAACACAAATAAATTTTTGCTACCTCTATTGTGAATATCGATTTTCTGTTCTGAATGGTGATTTTCAACAGTTTTTAAAATTCTATAAAGGGCATTTTTTTTTGTAAAAAATTATATAAAGGTTAGTAAAAAAATCCTCTAACGTGATTTACGGTAAAAATTCTTTGCTGGCAGACGCCGCAGGCGGCGCAGAATCAAAGTTCACTGTGTGCTTCGTATTTCTCAAACAAAATTGAATTAATTTTTAATTAATATGAAAATGCATGCAACTCTGTGCATACATGCAGCTGCAGAGTAACCTCAACCTTTACATACTAACAGGCAGTCCTTGCAACCACAAAAGTATAGCTTGCGACCACAAAAGTATGGCTTGCGACCAAAAAGTATAGCTTGCGACCAAAAAGTATAGCTTGCGACAAAAATAATAAATGTTTAATGAGAGAAAGAAACACACAGAGGAGATAGACAACAAACAGCAACGCATACACAAACAATCAAATAAAGCCAATTGCACAAAAATCCAATTGAAGTGACGCCATTTTGAAAAACGTCACTTCTTCAAACCATTAAGATCAAAGTCTTAAGATAATTAATTAAAATGTTCAAAATGTTCAATTAAATTGTTTTTTTTAGATAATTGATTTTTTCTATTTTGTCACCTAGGAACGTATCCCCAATAATCCCATGTAAATTACCATTCTGTATTCACGGTTTCTTTTTTCTTTCTAAATTACCATTCCGTATTCACGGTTTCCGTATTGACGGCATTTTTATGGAATGTATACACCGCGAATAGGGAGCTTTTACTATATTTCCTTATTCTTCGGTGATGATGTATGTTCCATGTATTTTTGTACATTTTATCAAAAGCTTATATCTTCTTATATGAATCATGTCTTGTCAACAGTTTGTGCGGGAGGAGGGTGATCATCTGACATTCAGTAAAAATAAGACATGTGGGGACAAGCCAGATTGACTGCTTAGTGTCTACGGGTAGACGTTTGTACGGGCGCATTCCAGTTTTTTTGCCCCTTCATTATCGTTGCGTGTGTTTTAATTTCATGACGATTTCGAATTTAAGAATTTTTTGTCCTTTTTTTTTATTGCTAGGTTTGATCAAATGCCTCCTCAACATGCACCCAGGTACTAGATCGCGTGGTTTATTCACCGTTAGGTATGTGAGTGCTACGTTTCTTAACCCATGTGCACAATACTTCGCTTACGTTTATGTAGTTTTATACCATTTGTGTAGCATAAGTGTATTTTCTGTTTATGTGTGTTTATACATGTTTATACGTGTGTGTTTTTTTATTGGGATGTGTGATCCTACATCTCTATCCATTTTACATGGCCTATGCATTTTTATACCCTTTCATACATTTTCAGCTGGTCGTTTATACAGTGGATCCGTTGTCACATGATCATATGTGCTCATACATTTTTATACCTAAATGTTTATCCCTGTGTATATGTTTTGCATGGCCCAACGGCGTTTATACATTTTATATATTTGTCTACACATTTCTATGCTCGTGAATATATATACAGTTGATGCATTGTCACATGATTATATGTGCTTATACATTTTTCTACCTAAGTGTTTATTCCTGTGTATATTTTCTGCATGGCCTAACGGCGTTTATTCATTTAAATACATTGTTATGTGTGTTTCTGCAATAGTTGTTTACTGTTTATATTACGTATATTTTGTACTACCTTCGTGTGAAGTTTAGCAGTTAACGGTTCCTTACCTTACGTCAAACCCAGAGGCGGATGATCCAGGGCCATACCCAGAAATGTTTAGTTTTTCGGGCGGACGGAGGAACTGGACTGAAAGTTACTAGGGACTACGGGTAGACATTTAAGCGGACGGACCGGTTATTAGTAAGGAAGCAAAACGCTTCCTTACAGCGAATATTGTATTTTTCGGTGTTCTTAAGCTATTTAATTGGATTGATGTTCACCTTTGTCCCGGTTGTCAGGAAGAAAATCCCAAATGGTATTGATGATTGGGTAAAATCAAACTTATCAGACTTTCAACATCGTTGAGAGATTTGGCCTACCCGACTTTTTTGACCTTCTTGTGGAAAACTGGAGAGTCTATTGTCGTTATCGGGATACAACTAAGAGGACCATTCGAAAAAAAACGAAGAGATACCTTGTTAACTTATTTTCTGGGATCGTCCCTTCAACTATGTGGAGAATTTTGAAGAATTATGGGTGCTGTAATGTGAATGACCTCTATGTAACCTTACTGTTGACGAGGTGAATGATTATTTTGTTGGTACTGTACATTCTGCCATGCCCAATGTTTCTTGTCCTTCTACATATGCATATTTGATGTTGAACTACTTGCAGCCTTGTATAAAACTAAATCTAAGTCCATTGGGAATGATGGAATCCCTATTGTAAGATATTAAAATTATTAAATTTCATATTTTGTAAAAAATATTTGTTTTAAATAAAGTATTTTCTGCCTTATTTATTATTTTGTTAAAGTATCTTTTTGATAAAAATATTTTTGTAGTCAGTTGTTCCATAAGCTTCGAGCTGAATACTGTTTAAAATCAAATCAATAAAAAATCATTTTAATTAAATTTTTTTTTAATTTGTGGAAAAAGGTTCTATACCTACCTTCTTTATTAAGCTTATTTTCCCGTACATTTCTCGACTGTTAATTTTTCATATTGACTCTACCTTGACTTAATCCGCATATCCTGTGCCTTGGAATACTGCGAGTGTTGTTCCCATTCGTATAGTCAAAATAGTGAATACTTTTGATGATTTGAGACCGATTTCCATTCTCCCGGCACTATCCGAGGAAATTGAACTTATTCTCAAGAACCAGATCTTGCTCTCTGTTCTGGATCTCATTTTATCTTCTAAGTGTGTTCTCCGCTTTGGGCACAACACCGTCAATCTACTACTGAATCTGGGTCGATGCGCACTTCTGGGTGTTACGAAGGTATGCAGAAACTGGTGTAACTTTGTTTTCTTGTAGCAGGCATAAAGATGGTATTTATTTATATTGTTGTTGTTGATAACGTAACTCACTCAGTATTTACTTAAAAAATTTATGCTAGACTTATACTAACGACAACATCTTTCACACATTTCTGTCACTTCGCTAGTCGCCATGTAGAGGGACATGTTTAAATCGATTCATCATTCATAAACTACAGTAGACACATGATAAAGTTTTCCACCTTTCTCCTACAAAAACAGAAAAACTCAGTCTCCATTCTTATAGAGTGTAGAAAAACGGAATAAAATTTAGGTACTTGTTGAATTGATTTCTCTATATTTCATTCTTCATATGTAGAAAACTTGTCACATAATTATAAAATTATAACAATACATTTTAGCAAGCCAGGCTAGCTTCCTTATCCTTAAACAAAATTTGAAATATCCGGCTTCCTGGTTGAAGAAATTTCTTTTCAATTGCATTTTGGAAAGTTTTCCGCAAGCAATGTCTCCCGGTCGGTGTTTTCTCCGGCAGTTGAAGGCGTATTCTATCTATTTTTTTAGCTATGCAAATAAAGATTCAAATGAGGAGAAAAAAAAGTTTTCATAGTAAAGGGTAACAGAATTCTGTTATTATTACTTTCATTTACTATTTGTTGAACAGAGATGAACATATGCTTTTTCTCTATTCATCAATTTTCTTTTACAATGAGCCATATTCTAAAAATATTGGAAACAACTAACAGGATATACGCGTTCGAATACTCATAGGCAAGCACCCGTATATGTATGCATGAACTATTTCGATCATTTAGTTTTTATACACATGCGAATAAATATATCAAAATGTCTATATAAATATATATAAACATGCATATATATAAATATATATCACATGTATATATATAAATATATCTACACATTTGCATACGTATGGGCGAATTGTACTTACTATCTTAAATACCGTACTTACTATCTTAAATATCGAATACACACATATAGTTAAAGTTGTAAGCAATTGAATCTCAGGTAAAAAATAAACAAAAAAACGTTCTTTTTGTATTAAAATCAAAGTATAGACTCACAAAACTCGAAACAGAAATAAAAAGAAATAAACAAAATTGCTAAGCTAACAAATTATTTAGAAAAAAAAAAAGAAAAATACAAATTTTTCCAAACAAAAAACCTGAAAATGAGCGCAACAAAAATTAGAATAAATAAAATTATGCATAAAATGAACATCGTCAACAGCAAAAGCAGCGACAGCAACCGTATCA